TTATCGGCATGCGACATGTTGTGGAAAGGTAGTCGTGTGAGATTGGCATCTGGGCATAGTATTGATATGTGGAATAAGTCCTGAGTTCTGGATAAGTTTAAAGATCAATCATTTAACTAATCCAGTCACGAAAGATTGGCACTTACCAATTCTTCAAGTATTTATGAAACCAATGGACTTCCCACTCATTAGAGGACTAAAAATCAGTCATACCTATAGGTCGGAATGAATACTTTGGCATTTGGCACCCAAATTTAAAGGTCAATCATTTAATTAATCTAGTCACTAAAGAATGACATTTACCAATTCTTCAAGTATTTATGAACTCAATGGACATCCCACTCATTAGAGGACTACCATCAGTCATACCTATAGGTCGGAATGTATACTTTGACATTTCATAAAATTAGGAAGTACAAAGAGAGTGTTATGTGGAATAGCCAAACACTAATGCATTAAAGGCCTATGGTTTCCCAAATCTCTTTAGGTACAAATTTATTCCTGTCATCAGACCTATTTTATAACTTGGATTTAATATTTTGGCGTAAACCACGACGAAAGGATCAAATGGTGAACAAGAAATGTTCCCTTGGCTTATATGGTGTATTGGGAATCTAGGTATAAGAAGATATTCCAAAGAGTAGTGTCGGAACCACATGATATCGTTGCTCTTGCTAAGAGTGAAATTATGGCATGGGGAGAGACAAAAAATGTGTGAAGCAAGGTCATATATAGAGCAATTTCCATAGACATTTCAAATATCCAATATGGTTTGCCAAATCGACGTATTGTGGAATGAGTCGGATCCAACTTTGGGAGTGGGTTGGTTTGGTGTCATGGAGAACAAACTCTCTTACTGGAAGCAAGAGGACAACGACGATGCTTATCTGTAACATCCCAGGACCAGGTATAGGATTTTAGGAACTTAGAATAATTTACAGCGGTTCAGAGAATAGGCGTAGGAGGGAGGAGATGGTTTTTAGGCAATGAAAACCTATGGACCGGCCCGCAAAAAGGTAAACGGGCCTCCTATAATTAAAAGGGAAATGAAACCCTAATTTTTCCTTAAGGAAAAAGGGAAAAACGTAGTGAAGAAGGGGGAGTCTAATGGGCTTAGCCCATGTAATAAGGCGATGGAGAAAATTAAGGAAAGTGAATATTCTCTAGGGGGATTTTCGTGGGGTATAAATAGGGAGTTAGGGAGCTCATATTTTACACACCAAAATCTTTCTCTCCTTCCAGAGCCAAAGGGAAACGCTTAGGAAGAGAGAATCGGAGGAGCTTGAGAAGGAACTCAGCACCCCAGCCCCGCGGTAGAGAAGGTTCACGGTAGAGGTAAGGCGTGATCTGTACCTAACTTTCCTTTCTAGTCCTTTCTATATTGCTTCCATAGGGTGTTTAGGTAGTCATGGGTAGTAGTCGAAGAAGCTCGGTCTGGATAGGGGATCCAGGCTAGAGACTCGGCAAGAGTAGAGTAGTGGCAGTATTCTACTTGACCACGGTCAAGCACGAGAGTGTCTCGTGGATGGCGAGGAGCTGCGGTATGAGCACAGAGGTTGCCTTATACCGTTAGACCACCGG